GTGGGAGAGCAGGGGGCGGGGGCGGGGGGCGGTGCTGTCCGGGGAGATCTTTCGTGATTGCGCGGGGCCACGCGGCTCCAGACAATCCGCGCGCAGCACCAGCTTTCTTGTTTTCCGCTGCGCCACGCGCCCACTCCACGCACTCCGGGAGGCCGGGGTGTGCGTGATCATGCTAGCAGTGGTGGATGTGAGAAAACGATTTGCCGACACTTGGGTTGGATTATATTATATCGGAGTTGACGTGCATCAAAAAACATTGAAGTAAATAATAACTAGCTGAGCTCTTGAGATAACATCCTAGAAGAGGAAGGGCTCGAAGGGCTTGAAAAGTAACAACCGAATATTTCTACATACGAAAAATCGAAACCCTCAAAGTGTTGTTTCATGTCGTTAAATATTTCTAATTTGACACTAACCAATCAGAGGTTTTTCAATTCTGAAACTGTGCAACCTCATTCATAATGAATACAGCTCATCATGTGTCTGAAAATTTTATGGTAATGTTTCATATTTGCCACGATCAATACATGAGTGTTATAGAGAACTATAGCAGAAGTAACCTCCTACTCACGTAGAGAAAAGGTACGTTTTCATGCGGGTTTTTATCTGTAAACTGATGGCTAGTTGACAGATATTATATCTATTTATATTCAATATAAAGTCTTCAAATTTACCTGACTGACAAATATATTTATTCTGAATAATCTAATGAATTTCGAAAGCCTACAGACACATAATACCAATCCGACTAGGTGTTAAACAAATACATGCACAATTCTCTCTACATGCATATAACTGCTTTAGGTCATTTTTTCTGGGAGAGTTCAAGAGATTCTTCTTCGACACTTTTCAGGATGATATTATTCCCCTAATTTGAGGTTGTAGAGCTAATTATTTTTAGTTTATTTGCATTATAAATAGAAAATCAAATTTTACATTTGTTTAAGTTCAAATGATAAAATTCTAACCCCTCTTTTTATATTTATTGGTGTTAAAAATTCAAGTAATATTAAATAATGCTGGCTCTAATAATAAAAGTAAAGAACAAGTAATTTACCTAAAAAAAATCGTGTACCTCAAATAATAAAGAAGAAAACTGTACCGGAATATTGAAAAAACAAGTTTTTATGAAACACCAAAATTAAATAATGTGTGAAAGCTTATCTTTACCTTGTCGCCTTCGTTTTACAAATACACGAATTTCTTGCGTGATGAACTTGTTAGGTTGGCACGTGATGATGATGATGATTATTCAACCGCAATAGGATGTACTTGTGGCCACCAAAATGCACTCTTTTCCGAGTGAACTGAATTTCAGGAAACTGTCTTTCATCGACAGTATTTTGCCGTAGCGTTTTAAATTTACCAAACTACCACTACTACACTGAAAAACGTGATTGCACTGGTGCTAAAACTTGCTACACAGTAGCAACAAACACGCGTGCTTCTCTCCAAATATGCATGTAAACAATATGCAATATCCGTGGCTACGTTACACTGTTGCCAACTACATGCTACAAAAAGACGAGAAAATCTGCTGTGTGAAAATCAGAGCGCCAACTCAAGATAAGAGGAATAGCATGTAAATAAGAAACGCGGTTGAACAGGAGACACAGCCTATTTTTAAACACTCCCTAAAATGAATGATTAATCATTTTAGTCTGATGAACACAGTTACAGATTTTAAAAACAATATAAATGAGACAATTATAGTTACAATAACAAGCAATAACTTTAAACAAAAAAACTGAAATGTTGGAAACCCCGAACTGAAATGTTCAAAACATCTAAATTATTAAACAATGAAATACCATGGAACATCTGAAGACACCAGGGGATCAGTGGTATAAGAGTAGTTGTTAATAAGATGTGGACACTGTGGAATTTTTTTTATAAACGGAAGAATTATTAGTCTCAGTTTAAAATATACAGATGTGA